GTCATGAGTTCCATATCTGGGGTTGTACCTCCTTAAAAAAAATTTTTGTCACACAACACTGCCACATATATGAGGGTACTTGCAGATGCCAGAAGATATCTGATCCCCTGAAGCTAAAGATACAGGCAGTTGAGAGTTGCTATACATGGGTGCTGGGAATTGAAGACCCTGGTCCTCTGTCATATCACCAAGCACCCTTAACTGCCAAGCCATCTCTGCAGCCCCACAAATGAATTATTTTATTTTCAAGACAGGGTTTCTCTGTGTAGCCTCGGCTATCCTGGAACTCACTCTGTAGACCAGGGTGGCCTGGAACTCAGAGATCTGCCGAGCGCTGGGATTAAAGCACGCATTACCCCCTTCCAGCTTCAAATACATGGTTTGAAAGAGATAAAAATAACATCAGGTGGGCTTCCAAAGGCCAAGGCAGACCATAGAGACTCCAGTGGTCTGCAAAGGCCTGGTGTAAACTAAGTTCAGTGCTTACAGTGGCCTCTTAGGCCTGAGTCTTCTCTGAGATAGGAAGGAGTCCTTGGGAGACAATGTCGCCATTGGGTATGGGTGTCTTTCTCAACATTCTAATAAACAGTTCAATTATTCTATTTGTGTACATTCTATTTCTTCATTGACATGAGCAGGGGAGATGGGACACTGGAATTTGCATTTTGTCTCTAGCAGACGCAGGCTTAGAAGGGAGTCTGGACTGAAAGAATAACTCAGAGGTAGGTTTGCCTAGAATGTGTGACACCCTAAGTTAAGTTCCTGGTACTGAAGAAAAACAATGTCAACAATAGAATAAGTACCTGTACACATTCCAGGCCCTTAATGAAGCCTCAGTGTCTACTCCAGTAGCATCGCTAGTTAAGTCAAACCTGTTGAGATTTGGACAGTTGCTAAGTATTATAATGCCAAATTCTGAACCCAAAGGTCTAGGGTAGGAGTGAATTCTCTCCTTTCCAGGCTTTTGTTGTGCAAACCTTGTTCCTGGATTTAAAGCCATTGGTTAAATAAAATTGGCTATAGCCAATTACTGGAGAGATGTAGGTGGGTTTGGAATGACCTGGTTTGGGATTGGGGAAGAAAGAGGAGTGAGGAGAGACCAGGAGTGGGCAGAACAAGAAGAGAGAGGAGGAAGCCGCCATGAGCACCATGGCCAGGATAAACAGCAAGTATCTGAGGTATACCACTGGAGAGGTAGTCAGACCAACAGTCAGAAGAGTAGATTAGGGGTTACTCCACTAATTGTCAAAGCCAAATAAAATAACCATAGTCTGAGTCTTACTTATTTGTAAGGTAGTCGGAGATAAGCTTAGATTGGTTCTACTGCATACTCCAAGGATGCAACTTGACAGTTATTTATGTGTGCACCTGTGGAGGTGAGAGGTGACAGAATGATGGGTGTCTTTCTGAATCTGAGGCTCATGGCCAGGGAACTCCAGAGTTACCTGTCTCACCACCTCTGCTCAGAGATGACAAGGGTGTGCTGTTATGTCCCATTTTTTTTTTTTACTCAAGTGCTAGGAGTCTGAACTTAGGGCCTCATCCTTCTGTGGCAACCACTTTACCAACACTGCCATCTCTCCAGTCCCTCCAAGGAATGTCTTATGCACACACAGTCGTGAAGTTCTTTTGAAAAGCGGGAGACAGGGTCTCATGTGCAGAGCCCAAGCTGACCTTGAACTTGCTATATGCTTAAATTTCTGATTTTCCTGCCTCTACCCTCACAAGGGATGGGATTCCAGGCATGTGCCACCAGGCTACTTATGCAGTGCTGTGGAGTTGAACTCAGGACTTTGTACACATCAGGCAAGAGCTCTACCAACTGAACTTAATCCCCAGCCGAAAAGCTGCCTACATTTATGAGAAGCTTCATAGCTTTTGCCGTCTTCCTCTCTCCGGCACACAGATGATTCAGTTTGTAAAGGATAAGTCTGTGCCAAGAATTCAATGGGATACGATTTCCTGTTGCTTTGACCCTAGAGGATGGAAGGTAGTGAGTTACCTTGGCTTCCATGGATCCCCACAACTTTCATCCTTACAGACACTGTGTTTTCTTTAGAGTTGGTTACAGGGTTTAAACTGGGGCAGGTCCAATGTGAGACGACATCTTGCAAAGTGATTACTTAACGAAAACATCAAACTTATTAAACTTAGTTTTAACACATGCATGTCACACAAATACACACACATCACACACACACACACACACACACACACACACACACACACACACGGAGAAGCTAGGAACATAGTTCAATGACAAAACATTTACTGAGCATGCTAAGGTTCTGAGTTCAATCCCCAGCACCACAGAAAACAAAACTAGAATAATGACAACATAGCTTTCTAATGCTTATAGACTGAGCATGTAGCAACCTTGTCTGTAGTGACTGGACTATGGAGTGAGGGAATGTTCTCTGGTCTTAGGCTGTGGGGTTTATTTTCAGCTTGCCTCCAGAATATGAGTTTATCTTTTGTTTTTTGAGACAGGGTCTGGCTGGCCTAGAACTCACTATATAGACTAGGCTGGCTTCAAACTCAAGAGATCATCCTGCCTCTGTCTCTGAGAGCTGGGATTAAAGATGTATGCTACCATGTCTGGCTAGGATAGGAGTCAGACAGGGTATTGCTGTGTGGCTTAGGCTCAGGCCTGAATTTGATATGCTCCTGTCTCAGCCGTGTAGTCTGAGCCATTCTTGGTGGGTGGCATCATTTATACCTCATCACAGTCCCTGTCATCTTTGGATAGCAGTATCTTGAATTGTGCAGTGGATATTACAATTTTAACTCTTTATCAGGTATGATGGCACACCTGTAATCCTAGCACTTTGAGACAAAGGCAGGAGACTTATTTTAAACTCCAAGTCAGTCTGGGCTACATATCAATGTCTCAAAAACAAATGACCAAACAAAATCTCAAGTCCAAACTTACATGCTTCTGTTTACCTTTGAGCCCTGGAGTTCAAAGTGCCAGGACTACAGAAGAGCAGCACCGTGCCTGGTGTTCAGAATGACTTGACTCACCCAACAGGGTGGTCATAGCCTCTCTTAAATGTGACCTCTGCTGCCTTGAAACCCAGTCAGAGAAATATGTAAAGTGAAAGTTAAGAAGTCTGAAAACTGGTCCACGAGGAGCCAGTAATTGCAGCCTCCCTAACAGCACGAGGAGCCCGTACAGCAGCACAGGGCACATTCTGAAGGGCTGAAAAGTGTCAAGTGGATAAAGGTCCCGTTTCACTGTTTCAAGTGGGGGTGGTGTGTGTGTGTGTGTGGTTTTCATTAGAAGACAAAGGGACACCCATAGGCATGTCCACACATGGTCCTATTTATTATCTCTCTAGCACTGGCTTACCCCACTCAAAAATTTCCACCAGACTAAAAAAAAAATTATTTGTGAAGAAGGAAATATCTTAAATACCCACTTAGTCTGTTTACACTGTTCCATTGTTTTGTCTATGATGTAATGCCTTCAGTTCACCCTGCAGAGCCTCTGCTGTGCATTTGCATAAGACTTGCCTCTGACAAATCTCCCAGCCCTTTGTAGCGTGGGGCTGGAACTTAGGGCCTTTCGCCTGCTAGGCAAGCCTTCCATCGCTGGGCTAGATTCCCTGCTCCCGATTTTCCTTCAGTTAGAAACTAACAGAACCGGAGTTTATAGTTGCTCGGTGTGGGTGTTCTGGAGCTGTGTTGCTTCCAGTACAAAGTGCAGCCTGTAACACTTGAAGCAGTGTGATGATGGTGCACTGGACTCAGCACAGAGAGAGCAAGGGGCAGCTGCTAGCTCACTAGGAATTTATCTGAAATTCTAACAGAGCTGTAGCAAGAACAATACCATCACTGCAGGCTTTAAAAAAAAAAAAAATCTGTCCACCACCCATTCTTCCACCTACCCAGTGGGAACAAGGAGAGCTTTGTGGACTGCCTGATAGGTCCACTCCACTGGTTGTCAGCCATGTATCAACTATATTCTATCCTCTCACTGAGTAGATCAGAAATGGAGGACCAGGGCTCTCTGTGCTAGTATAGGTGTCGCCCACATGGATACCCGAGACCTCAGCTCCATGACACTATTTAATTCTTTGGGTTATGGTAGGGATTTCTGTTTGTCCTCCTTGCCTGTAGTTATCTCTGCATTTATTTAGCATGTGTGATTTTGTGTACATGCACATGTGTGTACTGGTGCATATGCACATACGTGCAGGACAGGTCAACTGAAGCCAGCCTAGTACCCTTCTTGGAAATGGTGTTCCTCAGAGACCCCAGGCTTACTGGTGAGGCCTCATCTCCACTCCTCAGTGCTGGGATTACAAACTAGCACCAACATGCCTGGGTTTTTTAAATGTGGATACCTAAGATCAAACTTGAGTCTTCATGTTTGCGTGGACTAAGTGATCTCTCCAGCTCAATTTTCATTTTTTTTTTTTTTTTTTCCTTAGACAGGGTTTCTCTGTGTAATAGCCCTGGCTATCCTGGAACTTGCTTTATAGACGAGGTTGTCCTCAAACTCAGGAGATCCGCATGCCTCTGCCACCTGAGTGCTGGGATTAAAGGCGTGCACTCTGCCCGGTTCAATTTTCACATTTTTAAAAGACATCTGAGATGTCTGCTGTTGTAGCTGCTGACTGTGTAACGACCCTCATCTATGAAGGCACAGAGGTCCTGGGTCACAAAGCACAAGAGGGCGTTTTGAGATGGATTCTTTTGACACTTTGCTGCTCAGGGCTCAGCAGTGTACATACTTGGAGTCTTGGGGACATTTAGAAGCTATTCCTTGGAGTATCTCTTCAGAGACAATGGAAGAGTGGGAACAACTCATTTCTCCCTCTGAGCCCTTTCCTTTTCAGAGGTTGTTAGCACACATGGTGTAAGACATTCTGAGGCTGTTATGTCGTGGCACACACATGGTATAAGACATTCTGAGAGACCAGGGGTCTCATGTTGGGGAGGAAACGACACAATTCTAACAAATCACTGTAGAAATGAAGAGCCAGATCTGGGGACAGGGTGGGAGGTGACACACTTTGTTTTACAGAGCTGTCACACACAGTGTGACTATCTTCAGAAGCAGGTATAGGAAATCAGACATTCAGCTACAGAAGGAGGCTGGAGTCTTCACCTGATGGTTTTTAATGTCTTTGAACCTGGCTGGCAGTCAAGTGTCTTTTCCAGAATAGGCCAATGGAGACAAGTCCAGTTTGGTGTTTAAAGCTTTAGTCAGCTCCCTGGCCAGCAGCTCATGCAGAGACATGCCATCATGGGAGTACACCCAGTTCTTCCCGGTCCAGTCATAGCGCTTGGGGCCACTGCAAGACAAAATAAATTCATGGTAAGACAGCGAGGATCCCCTTCAGGAAAGCCACTGTGTTTGAACTAAATCAATCTGTGCATCTACGTACGTACATATGTATGTATGTATGTATGTATCTATCTATCTATTGTTTTTTGTTTTGCTTTTCAAGATAGCATTTCCCTGTGTAGCCCTGGCTGTCCTGGAACTCAATCTGTAGACTAGGTGGTCTTGAACTCAGAGTTCCACCTGTCTCTGCCTTTTGAGTGCTGGAACTAAAGGCATAAGGCCACCACTGCCCGGCTTATCTATCTATCTTTGAAGATAGATTCTTACTCTGTATCCCAGACAGGTAGCCTGGACCTCACTTGTGTAGCCAAGGCTAGCCTTCAACTTGTAGCAATTCCTCCATCTCAACCTAAGTGCTGGGATTATCAGCAACCACGTTTGGCTGGACTGAATCTTAAAGGTCCCACTCAGGCCATGGTTAAAAGCTCACTGTCTAGCTCATGACTCTATTGCAGGGGTGGAGATTTTATAAGGTAAGGCCTAATCGTGGTGTGCTAGGTCACTGACAGTGTGCCTTGAATGGACGATTGGGAACCTGTCCCGTTTCCAGCCATGGTCCTTCTCACTGCAGGCCCAAAGGCAACAGAGACTAAAAAAGTCTCTGACATTGTGAACCAAAACAAATGCCTCCTCCTTTCAGTAAAGAGCTAATCGAATAATCCACAGAGCTACCTGCCACCCGGAGACTCCAGTGATATCCAGTGAGGTGAACCTTTGCTTTCCTCAGCATCTTCCTGAGGATGATTGTGTAGTCTGTCCTCTGGAACATTCTGCAGCCCATCCACCCCCCGCCATGAGTATCCTGGAATACCCTGCAGCCTCCCCCCACCACCACCCCCTGTGAGTCTCCTGGAACACCATGGAGCCCTGCACCCGTAAGTCTTCCTGCAGCATGTTCGATCGCTTGCTTTTTCTAGAACATCTGCTATCTTACAGCCAGGTTTGGGAAGTGATGGTCATTTTGTGCCAAGAATGTGATATGATCAAGGCCCAACCTACACTAACTCTGTCTAGGTCCAAAACATCTCTATTACCATGAAAGAAACCCTAATACTTACTAATCAGCTACCTTGCCTCTTTCAACCTTAGCTACCACCTGTGCTATTATTAAAAACTTTGCTGGGCATGGTGGTGCAGGCCTTTAATCCCAGTGGTTGGTGGACAGAGGCTGGCTTGGTCTATACAGTGAGTTCTGAGCCAGCCAGGGATACAAGGTAAGACCCTGCCTCCAACAAACAAACAAACAAACAAACAAACAAACAAAACAAAACTTTCTTCTTTTGACAGAGTCTCTCATAGCCTCAGCTAGCCTTGACTTCCTTATGTAGCCAAGGATAACTCTGAAGTCCAGATTTTCTTGCCTTTATTGCTCAAGTGTTGGGATTACTGGCTTGCTCCATAATTTCTAGCTAAAAGTAGTTACCTTTATTAAAAATTAAATCTGTGAAATTGAGAGCTTTATCAGTGTGTCCCCATATACCTTCCTTATCTGTTGCTGCATCTACTCCATTCTTCAGGCGTGAGGAGAAAGTATTTGGGGTGTGGCTTTATACTACCTCCTAATATTGCTCCCTTTAAGAGGAGTGACTTCTGGGAGTTTCTTACATCACTGCAATGTGTCCACAAAAGGGAATGGGGGACCTGTCTAATCTGTGTCCCATCCTGAGATGGGACGCTACTCCTGCACATTCTCCCATCATGGCGTGCGGATTGTACAAGAGGCTAAACCAGTGTCCCTCCTGTCCCCTCAGTCTTGGACCCTGAACCTTGAAAGCCATGAGATAAAGAAACCTTTCCCCTTTATCAGTAACTTGCCTCAGGTATTCAGCTGTAGCAATGTGAAGCTGACTAGTGCAAGTACCGTGGACAAATAGGTAGCTGGTTTTTGTCATGATTTGTTACTCCAGATGTTACCCTTGTCTCAAGTTCTAGCTCCTCATGGACCAGACAACAGTAGATACAGTAACAGACAAAGATGGCATACGGGGACAGCCTGGTGAAGGTAACCCTGAGAGTTTACGACCTGGGACATCCAAGTCCACCGAGAACACTCGAGGGAACTTTCAAAGACAGACTAGAAGAGTGGGGATATGGCTTAGTGGTACGGCGTTTGAGTGGTCCCAGCGTGGGCAATGTATTTTTAGATCTCTAGCACCACAAAAGCCAAGAGGAGACTGCGGTGAGGTGGGAAGGCAGTCTCCTGCGGTAGAAGGAAGAGATGGGAGGTATCTTGGGTAGGTATAAATGCATGAAGGCTTTTAATGTTGCCAATCAAATGCTGGACAATACAGAGAAAAGGGCAAATAAACAGAAAGGGCTTCTGTTACAAGAGCAGAAACCTCTGAACACAAAGCACCCAGGCCACATTAAAGCAAAACAAAACCAGGGGAAACCTGGTTGAATGGTCTTTGGTCCTGCACCACAGCACTGCTATCAGGTAGCCAGGTGGAGTTTGAACAACTCAAGACCCCTCTACATTGTCCAGGCCTCTGAGCCCAGATTCTGGGGCCCAGGTGTCCCCCACAGTTCTTTTTTAGTTCATCCTATGGCAAGGGGGCCAGGAAGTACTGTCTCCACAGGACCGCAGAGGTTTTCTTCTGAAATAAGAAATTATAATCATGGCCTTGTGAAAGATGTTCTGAATAAATAGGGAATTACTTCTGGGGTGATGGAGAGAGGGCTCAGTGGTTAAGGACGCTTGCTGCCCTTCTGGAGGACTGGTTTGATTTCTCACACCACTCTGGGCTGCTTACAACTGCTTGTGACTACAGCTCCAGGGGATCTGACTCCCTCTTCTGGCTACTGTAGGCATGGACATTTATCCACAGCTACACCCATGGACACATAAATAAAAATAAGTACCCCTTTATGAAAGTAATTGTGATGAAGGGTTACTTAGGGAAAGCCCCCGCCCCAAAACCCCTCATATAAATTACAGTTTTTAAAATAGATAATCTTTTTTGAATTAACTGTTTTAATTTTGTTTTGATATACGAGTGCTCTGTCTGAGTGTATACCTGCAGACTAGAGGAGGGCACAAGATCCCTTTATAGATGGCTGTGAGGCACCATGTGATTGCCGGGAGTAGAACTCAGGACCTCTGGAAGTGCAGTCAGTGCTCTTAATCACTGAACCATTTCTCCAGCACCTAAATTCCAGGTTTTAAATGTATTTGTTTTACATGCATTGGTGCTTTGCTTGTATATTTATCTGTGTGAGGGTGTCAGATCCCCTGGAACTGGAATTACGGACAGTTGTGAGCTGCTATATGGGTGCTGGGAATTGAACCTGGCTCCTCTGGAAAAGCAGTTAGTGAGTGCTCTTAACTACTGAGCCATCTCTCCAGCACGGGTTTTAAAAGAGTTTGCTTGGAGTTTCTTGTAAGTGACTAATTACCCTGTGGTGAATGTGGGCCGCCTGACACGGATGCCAGGATCTGAACTCTAGCCCTCGTGCCAGAGCAGAAGGGGCTCTTAAGCCATCTTTCCAGCCTCCTTGGTAATAGTTTTGTTTGCTATGGTGCTGGGAACCCAGGGCCTTCTCTCACATGCTAGGCAAGTTCTTGGCTACCGAGCCACACCTGGGCACTTTTTAATTTTTTTAAAAATGACAATACCATTTGTTAGAATTCGAGCTCAGTTTGGACAGACAACACCAAAGCCGATCCGATCCGGTTCCAAGGGGAGGGGTTTATTTGGGGAAGGGAGTGGGAGAGAGGAACGGGAAGATGGCGAGTGAAGAGAAGAGGAAGAAGAGGAGTAGAGGATAGAGGCCGGCCATGACCACGTGGAGAGAGGGGGAAGAGAAGGGGGGAGGGGAGAGGACAACCTGCAGGTGCTCAGGGTTGAGGAGCAAGAGAGAGAGGAGGGGCCAAGCATCCCCTTTTATAGTGGGCAGGGTTATCTGCCTGTTGCCAGGTGACTCTGGAGGTGGAGTTTAACAGATTGCTAACACCATTAGGCTTTCAGATTTCCACACTGGTTCTAGCTGAGATTTCTGCTTTGCCTTCAAAATGTCTTCTTCGATACTGCAGGTGAGCCTCAGAAGGTTGGTGTGAAGGCTCCCTGTGGGCATCTCTCTGTCATTCCCAGACCACTGAGGCCACAGCTGTATGCTCATCAGTAAGTCCTTAGTTCTGAGACGGGGGTGGGGGTATAGGGGGGAAGAGGGTGGGGGAGGGCTGATTGCTGAGCGCCCTGCTGTTCCTTCAACTGCAGGCATTGCCACGGGGCAGGTGTGAGGCTGGGGGCCCTGGGGCTGCTGCTAAAAACCACTGTCCCATTGCAACAGAGTCTGAGCCCAACTCTGCCAGTAGAATTACTGAGACCTTGGAAATAGGGCAGGAGTTAAAGTTTAACTTACTTTGAGGACAAAGTGCAGGCTTTCTCAGATACTACAATATATAAAAAATTCTTTCCTCTCTTTCTCCCGCCTTCCTTCCATTTTGGGAGTTGAATCCAGGGCTTATAGATGACTGGATAAACACTCTACCAGAGATACACCCCCAGCCTTCAAAGTACTTTTTTGGGGGGGATTTATTTATTTTATGTATGTGAGTACATTGTCAAACTCTCTTCAGACACACCAGAAGAGGGCATCGGATCCCATTACAGATGGTTGTGAGCCACTAAGTAGTTGCTGGGAATTGAACTCAGGACCTCCTGAGCAGTCAGTGCTCTTAAATGCTCACTGAGCCATCTCTCTAGCCCCTCAAAGTAGCTTTTTAATTAATTAATTAATTAATTAATTAATACCATTATTTTTTTAATCGAAAGCATGTGTCACTTTACCTAACCAAAGTAGCTTATGTATAGTCCTGGCTGGTGTGGAACTCACTATATGGACCAGATTGGCTTATTTGCTTTTGGGATAGTGATAGCCCAGACTAGCCTTTCAACTGGCTATGTAGCAAGGCAGGCCTTACAGTTACTGCCTCTACTTCCTGAGTGCTGAGACTATAGATATGTAACACTGTGCCTGGCAAAAGTAACTTTTTCAAAGGCAAGCCAGTGATTTTTTGTTTCTGGGCAATAATATAATAGAGAAAAAGTCTGGGCCAGGTTCTGAAAAGTCCCTTCTGCTTCAGGTCTTGTCAACATTCCGATGCCTGAGGATAGCAACCAAGTTACCAATGGGAAGAGGTGTTCAACTACAAGCAAGCCTTTCTACCTAGGCAGACAGCTGTAAAGGCGGCAAAGTCTCCAACACTGCATTCCAGATGAGTTTACACCTTACAGATTTTGACTTCTGAACATACCTGGAGGGAGAGGACAACCAGATCTGCTTGTTTGGGGTCTGCTTGTTGATCACGTAGGTCCCTAGATCCCCACCCAGCTTAATGGTGAGCACGCCATCCTAGGGGGTCAGGTGGAAGAACGTGTGAAGAAATCAGTGTTAGTACTGTGATACACACACACACATACATACACACATACACACACATACATACACACACACATACACACATACGTATGTAAATAAATCTCTGACCCCCCCTAACCCTGAGAGTAATGTTTTTACTATACAAGCCCCTATTTTTGTATTTTTAAACACACACACACACACACACACACACACACACACACACACACACGTTTATATCTCAATGCCTTTCATGTATCCAAGAATATAACAGACACCATTAAGAAATGGGGGCTGCGGATGCAGCAAACTGGCTTTGGGAAGCCCCATGTTCAGTTTTTGGTACCAAACCATAACAACATTTAGTACTCAAAAGCAGGAGCTTGTATAGTAAGAATGTTACTCTCAGGGTCAAGTGGGCCAGAGATTTGTTTTACTTTTATTCATGTGTGTGTTTCTGTTCAAGTGTATGTGCATGAATGCCCTTAGAGGCCAGAAGACACACAGGACAGCTGCAAGGTTGGAGTTACAGGGGTCTGTAAGTCATCTGATGTGATATAGTTGCTGGGATCCAACCTCTGGGTCTCATGATAAAATAGCAAGCGCTTAACCACTGAGCCATCTCTGCAGCCACCATGAGTGGATGAATTGTAATAACACAGTGCTTTCTCTCTGCCTGTGTGGTCGCCAAGACAAGTTTAGTCTTGCCTGAGATCTCAGCAATGGTAAACAGGACCAGTTAGCTTGCCCCATACAAATGCAGACTACACTCTAACAGTGTCTGCGCAAGTGTCAGACCTGACAAGTCCATCATGAAAACACAGAAAGAAAGTGGTTGTGGTAGCAAAATCTGTCAAGTCAGGGTTTGGGAGGCTAAGGTAGGAGACGGTGAGTTTGAGGCCAGCAGGCTGCACAACAGAATGCAAAACAGGAAAAGAGAAGAAAAGTAATCAATGCCCTGCCCTGTTTGTCTTAGAAGAGTGAGGCGGAGAGGCCCCAGCCTACCTGTGTAATTTCCAGACCCTTCCCAGGCATCCAGCAAGTGCTCAAGACTCCAGGAGGCTTTATTTCCCTCTAAAAAGCCTTGCATTCTCAAAAGACTGGCCAGTTCATTTTTTGCTCAATAAATGAACATTTAAATTTGAAAGCACCCAACAAAGGAGCCCTTCACCCTGAAGGCTTTAGTTTCCTTGGAAGGCAGGCAGGATACGAAACAAAGGTTAGGCACTAAGTGCACTCTCACAGGGCCTTGTATTGCTTCTGGTAAGCAGGTGGAGGCCTCTTGTTGCCCAGATGCACCTTGGCCTTTCTCTGCGCTCTGCAGAGGGCTCATCCAATCAGGAGTCTTAGAATGATGATTCTCACAGCACTCGCTTACAAACACAGCCAGCCATTTAGATAAACGCTACAGGCTGGGGCCAATAATAATGTAACTAATAGACACAGGAGGGGACAGTAGTGATCTCTCTCTCTCTCTCTCTCTCTCTCTCTGAGACAGGGTTTTACTAGGTAGTTCAGGAAGGTAACAAACTTGTAATATTTGTGCCTCTGTTTGCCAAGTGCAAAAAAATAAGTGTTTGGGTATGTGTCACTATGCCCAACTTCTTTCTGCCTGCCTGCCCGTCTGTCTGTCTTTTTCTTCTTCTTTTAAATAATAACATTTTTCCCTGATTCAAATAAAACAACAAAGAACTAGGGCCGATGCTGCGGCTCCCCTGGGAGAGTGTTTGCCTATGACCCATAAGGCTCTGGGTTTCCTCTCCACATGGATCAGGCTTCGTAATCCCAGGGCTCAGGAGGTAGATCAGAAACTTATGGCCATCCTTGGCTATATCCTAGTTGAGGTCAGCCTGGGCAACATGAAACCCTATCAAAACAAAGCAAAACAAAACAAACCCAAAACAAAACAACCAAACAAGCTACACAAATCAAACCCACAAAATTCCCGATGGAGATGTGGACATACAGGCAGAACAAACACAGCAAGTCCCTCAGTAAACACAGGAATCCCTCTTTATTTAGGCCAGGGGTTCACAACTTTTCTAATACTGAGACCCCTTAATACAGTTCCACATGTGGTGGTGACCTTCGATCATAAAATATTTTGTTGCCACTTCATAACTGTAAATTTATGTTTACATAAACTGTTATGAATCATAATATATTTTTGGAGATAGAGGTTTGCCAAAAGGGGTAACAACCCACAGGTTGAGACCCTCTGACTTAGAGCCCAGTGTGTGCCAGGATATGCATCTAGACTGTAACTGTTTTCAACTAGACCACAGTGTGGAGGTAAGAATCACTATCTCAGTTTTACAGTGCCAACAAAACAAAACAAAACAAAACAAAACAAAACAAAACAAAATATTAGCAACCAGTGGAGTTGCTGAAAAGCAGGGCAGTTTGGGCTCAAAAACAGTTTTTCTTGTTGTAGGGAACCCTTTCCTCCTCTTGAACCTTCGTTCTTAGGTGCTAGTTTATATATTTTCTCTCTTTTATCTTTGGAGAAAAAAACACTAGATTTGCCTGTACCTAAGTCTCACAGTAGAGTAGTATTGAATGCATTCATATTGTTACTCTAGAGCCATTCAGAAATATCTCCACATTGTAAAAACCGAAATCCTGTATACACATTCAATGTTAATTTCTCCCAAACACATGGATCTTTACCCAACTCTACAGCTTCATGCTTCTATCTATAGGCTAACAGACTTGGTGAAATTAGTCACTTCTGACTTACGGGGCAATAAATGTCCCCCTGTCTGTTCCACCCTTCATGTTGAGGCCTGAAGATCCAGGCCAAATGAACACCGAGGACTTACTCTCCAGATGTGACTTCCAGGTCCGCTCTCCTTCCTAACCAGCCTAGGCCTGTTCAACTTACATCACTTTGGCCTGGCTCCCAACATCTGGCTGGCCTCCTCAAGGGCACCACATCTGTACCTGTCACTATTACTGCTAGTGACCATACCAGGGACAGCTCTCCTAACCACTGCATCCTCAATTTACTCTCTGATCCACAGGCTTTGGAGAGATCCAGGAGTGCATATTAATTAAACAGATGTGTGCTCCAAAACCAAAACCAACCAAGTGGAAAGCAACCCATGGGAGACCTAGTTCACAGTGCTCAGGCTGTCTTCCGGCATCTTCCCTGCAGTATACTCTTGATCCAGGACTGTGCAAGTGCCTCTGGGAAGGTTACCTGGAGCTCTCCACTTGGCAGAGTCTTTGCAGACTATTCCCTGCTTCGAACTACCTCAGCATCGACTTGTATGTGACAATGCCTGTTGTCCCCTGACCCCTATTTCCACTATTTTGAGTCCCTAAGAACAGGCAATCTCAATCTCAGTTAGCAGCTACATGCTTCACCCAAACACGGGAATGATATTATATTTGTGGATGAATGAACCAATGGACAGTCAGTGGCCAAGTGCACCCTATGGTACTATCTGGCAAAGTGAAGGGCAAGGTTGCCCAGGCGGAGATCGCGGAGCTCAGTTCCTCCTGTCAGCCAGGCTACAGTAATTAGACTCTTTTCCCCCAGGACTTGCAGCTACTCCAAATGACAGGGGCAGGAGGGAATAAGCCAGCTGCTACGCTGGCTTACCAGGGGCATTAAAGCATTTAGAACTGTCTGCAAGTAGATTACACAGAGAAGGTTTTCAGCTCCTCACTGCCATTCTTTAGCCAATGTGAGTCCATTTTGGGACTGTGGGTACATTTAAGTGCAGAGGAGGGGACTGTGTTACTCAGACTTTCCTTGCTGTGACAAATACTTGAGGAAACACAAGGAAAGATTTATACTGGCTCACAGTGTCCAAGTTTTCAGTCCATGGGTGGCTGGCTGTGTTGTTTCAGGGCTGTGGCATGTCACTACAGTGACAGAAAGGTACAGTGGGAAACTGTTCCTCATGGCAGCCAGGAGGCAAAGAGGGAGAAAGAGGCCATGGATAAGGAACATCTTTCAAGATACACGGCCAATGACCTACTTCTTCCAACCTCCCACAGCCCCCAGTTCCTGCTATAATCTCCACTATTCCCCCAGTGTTCCAGTAGATCAATGCTTCAGTTAGGTCAGGGACCTCACGACCCAATCACCTCTCAGTGACACCACCAGCTGGGAACCTGGCCTTCAACACATGACTCTTAGAGGGTATCCAGATCAATCCACAAGAAAGAGAAACAGAATACTAAGCAATTGCTAAGGAATGGCGACCAATCAGAGGAGACCGTCGCACCAACCAATCAGAGCAGAACCAATCCCAGCTGGCCATGCTTAGGACCAGTGAAGAGTAGCCCTGCCTCGCAGGAACAAAAACTGCAAAAACTGCTGTCACCTGGTCACCCGTAGAAGTAGAAATAGGCACATGGGAGATGTCAGGTTAAACCAGGTACCTTCACATACATGTGACTTCTTATTAAGGAATAAAAATAATGAATCTGAAAGTGCTTTTTACTATTCCCACCCCCTATCATTTTGACAGGCATCTGCCCTACATAATCCTATGATTTACTCCAAAATATACACTTCATGACATTTCCTGGTATTAATGAATTGCTCTCAAGAGGATTAACCTCTGCCCGGATTGGCGGTGTGGTGCACGAGAATGGGTAAGAGAAGACATTTTTCTCCCCACGGTAAAAGTCTAAGCCGATCCTTGCTTAGCGTGCCACCTGGTGGCCAGCATGTACACTTCCCTCGATTCCAGCGGCTGGGGTAATGCTTCACACAATTTGGAAGTCTCAGCCATACACAGGGGAGATCTGCAAATCCAGTTCCTCACCCAGGGCACATTACATTCTAATTAAATCCGAAATTCTATGGACTGGGCTCAGGGATGTGCATTAGAATTCCAGGTGCGCCAGGCTGTGGTGGTGCATGCTTTTAGTTCCAGTGGATCTTTCAAGGCCAGCCTTGTGCACACAGAAAGTTCCAGAACAGCAAGAGCTACATAGAGACTCTGCCTCTAAAAACAAAATCAACCCCCTCAAAAAAAACCCCAAAACAAACAAACAAACAAAAAACAGAAAAAATCAGAATGGGCTGCTTCTTACATAACACAGCAATAACTGGACTCACATATGGAGTCTGAACTACATCTGGGCAATTTCCCCCGCAGACACTGACACAGGCTGCATCCTGGAATTGACCTTTGTAAGTATCAGGTGGAGTCCAGGACTCTACTTCTTATTCTTCAGTACTGGGGACTCAACCCAGGGCTTCAGCCATGCCGGTTAAGGGCTCTTCTTTTAATGGAGTTACCCAATGTGAGTGCACAATCACAGACACTGCCCCTGGGGATCTGTCTTTAAGCAAGAAAGGCTCAGAGAGGCAGAGCTGGGTTGTCACGAGAGTCCTACCACATGACCCACATGACCCAAGCACAGTCTATATTGTGGCATGGGCACTGCTGCTGGGGGCTGTTTTTTTTATAATTTATTTATTATTATTCTGGAGAGAGAGAGAGAGAGAGAGAGAGAGAGAGAGAGAGAGAGAGAGAGAGAGAC